CTTTGAGAATCAGTTGTGTTTTGCGCGAACGGACTATAGAGAGAGCGCATCGGCAAACAGTTTTTTTAAACATGACACCAACGCGCTTTACGTTTTCCTCCTCGTCAATGTTATTGAAATGTTTGATATATGTAAATCAGTAGTTGACTTGTTTTCTGCTGTTGACAGTATTCTTTTTTTGGTTAATTTTTAGCTGCACATCCGGAATTGTTGTCTTTAAAGACTTTCCTCGCACTTTTTAGGATTGTCAAAAGTAGTTTGCAAATTGTTGTTTATTCTTCTCAGTGTTGGCAGCGTTGCAGTAGGAGAAAAAAGGGTAGCTTATTAGTTGTTTTAATTGAAGCATTTTTGTAAAACCATAATCTGATAAGAGTCCGTGACGAAAGGAGCCCGTTTTTTCATGATTTTTAGTTTAGCACAGAAGTGGTAGTGCCTGTTTGGAAATGTGTTGAGCTTCTCAATCCCTTTTACCTTTTTTTTTCTCAAGAATCAGAAAGTTATAATATATTTGATATATTGGTTATGGCTGATTCCTAGAGGCGTCATTTTTCTTTTATTATTTCACGTTTTTGATGGAAATGAAAGTTAAGTAAAGTCATGGATGAAATTGGTTGTTAAGGTCCTCGTTTTCAACGGGTTTATCATATGTTTTGCAGCCCGAGAACTTAACATATATTCTCACATTTCTGCGAGGTTGCTATCGCTACACTGTTTGATTTTTGTAATCTTTTGGTTTAATTTTTGGCTCCTAAAAGTGTGGGTCTAATCATCGCGTTCTTCTTGTAATTTGTTCTCTGATGACTGATCCAATTTAGGGTTAACTCAACGGGGAAAGGCACATCTTTTTGGTTTGGGATGAGCTACGTTGGAGCTGGTGCACCAAGAGGTAATTTTTTGTCTATAGTTTATTGTTTCTTGGCATGAACTTATGAAGTTAGTTTTTGTCTAATTAAATGAAAGGAGCAGGTGGTTTTCTAGTTCGCGGCATGTGTTAATTTCAATACCGGTTTTTTCTAAGAAATGTTTTTAGTTAATTTTTTGCTTAATGTATTTTTTTTCTTTATGTCAGGCGATCTCGCTTCACTCTTCTTATGTTTAGATTAGTTACTTATTTGATGTTTGCACGATTTTTTTCTAGTTTTGTTTGAATTCTTCGCCTAGTCAGGAGTTTTTTTGGAAGATTGTTTGCTTACATTAGCGATGTTGAACTTTTCTATTAATAGTTTAAAGCTAGCTGACAAGTGAGCTGTTTTTGAATAAAGTGGAACATGATTTTACTTCGGAATAAAGTCTTACTTTCAAGAATGAATATCAAGTGTTTATGTTCTAGTTTTATAGTAGGGTACGGAGATTTCACTGGATTGGGGAATTTCAACAATTTTGAAAACACAGTTGAGCAACAGCCTCCACACGCACACGCACCTATGGACGAAGGGGCAACGCCACAGCCATTATCTGGCAATGGAGGACGTCGTGGAAATAATTTCAATTTGCAGCAGGTTTCAAACTTTTATCGGGTTTTAAATTTAATTTATTACGGGAGATGCTATTATTATGGTTTGTACGCTGGGGTATGGTGTTAATCTTGATCCGGCAGCCTTTTGTTGATTATGAGTTTGCTGTGGTTCTGTGTGAGGCAGGTAAGGCTCAGTCCGTCATTGCTGTGTTTCTGGGTTAGAAGTTGGTGGTTCAGTCCCGGTTGGAGAGACTGGTTGTTAGTGGTGCTGTTGATAGGTCAGGTGTTGTGGTCTATGAAGATAGGAATTACCGGTTGATGTAATTATGAAACAATCCAATGGCTGCATATTTGTCAGAGACCACTTGTTGAGG